GGGCAGGGATTGTCCCCTTGTACTGGGCACTGGTACAACAACACCTCCAATCCTCTGTTTAATGACCTACCACAGGAAGGTCATTTTGATGCTGGAACATGTTCAGAGAGGACAACAAGAATGGCAAAACATTTGGAGCAAAGTCCTAAGAGGAGTGGCTGAGGGAACTGGGGCACTTTCAGCTAGAGAAAGTCAGAAAAAACCCTTTATCCCTCCTACATCTGCCTGAAAAGAGGTGTAGAAAGGCTGGTCTCCCTTTTCCAAGAGACAAAAAATAGAGTGAGAGGAAATACCTCAGCTGTACCATAGGAATGGCAGAGTAGGAAAAATTTCTCCATGGAAAAAATTCTTCATGGAAAGGTTTGCAAAACATTCTAACAGACTGCTCAGGGAAGTGTGGAATGTCCATCCCTGGAGCGTTTTAAAGTATCTATAGACGAGATGCTTAGGAATAAGGCTTAGTGGTGGACTTGGCAGTATTAGTTTGATGGTTGACCTCAATGATTTTAAAGATCCTTTCCAACCTAAATAATTCTATGGATTCTATAATTTTTCTTTTGATTTTTTTCTGTTGCATAATCTCTCTTTATTTACCCTTGTCTGGTCTTCTCCCCCCTTTCCTTCCTTGTATATAATCTTCCTTTCCTCATAAGAATGGTGTCTTCTCTTACAGAAGGGAAGAGAAGGTTTAGAGAAGACTCCTTTCTCTCTGAGAACCTCTCATCAACCTTTACCCACATCTGAAGCTGCAAGGACTGAAGCAAAGCAATTTGTGAAGCTCAGACCTTGCCAAATGCTCACTTGGCTTCGCTGAGAAGTGTATATCCCTTTTGGCATAGCCTATCAGCTTTGAAGCCAGTCACCTGCAGAGCTATTCATTAGCTCACAGTGTAAAAACACTGATAGCCCTGCATAGGACACAGCTGGATGCTGAAGAGGAATCAGAGGCGGAAGATTACAACATTTTGAGAGTTAAAGAATACAAGGTTCTTCACGACAAAGCAGTGGAACAAGTGGATATGAGGAAGTAAAAGATAAATACAACATGATACTAAATAGTGATGATATAGAATTATAAAAGCTGGAGGTTGGTCTAGTTCCTCCTAGAGGAGTACTAGTTCCTGAAGGAACTGCTAGGGTAGGTCAACAATCTTATCCTGTTGGAACATTTCAGTCTTCATCTCTGTTGGAACATTTTTGCAGTTGTTATGTATATAGACTGCTTGTACACCCTTCATGTCATAGTCTCTAAGGGGTGGATATGCAACCCTTAAGTGTTTTTTGCCACTCGATGTAGTATACAAAACTGCTGGTAAAAGTCAGGGTGTGTGGACTTACTCAGAGAACCTCTCAGAACTGCAAGTTACAAGAAACTACACTCATAGTTTTGGATTTTTGCTAATTTTTGATTCCCCATGAAAAAGTGAAGAATTTGAGAAAATACCTGAATTACAAGTTTTGTTCTACCATAGTGACACCAGCACTCTGTGATAGATTCCAATAATATAGAAGGAGTACTGCAGGAAGGTTTAGAGATTGTCTAAAGGATGAAGAAAGTCTGAAGGTAAGTCTCAGAAGTAATGAAGCATAGTCCAAAGCAGTCTGGAAAAGGAATACATATTGAGAAAGACTTTTTTTCCCAAGGGATAACAGGCAGGAGAAAAGCTTCTTAATAGCTTTTAGTTACATCAGTTAACAATATCTAACCTGTATTTCCTAATATTTCTGTGGGTCTGGAGAAGAAATTTGGCCAAACTGGCAATTCTGGCAAATTGAAGAAATTTTGCATTCTGGAAATACTGTGTGCTTTTAAAATAGGCCACATTTATTTAGCACCTTTTATTTTACTCAGAAGAAAGAATAACTTTCCACCAGGAGCAAACATATCAAGTTGTCTGAAAAATTTTAAATTGTAGTTCACCTCAGAATATTTATTTCAGCTAGTTTTCAATGTATGAAAACTTTGACTTCTTTTAGAAGTAATATTTGGGCTGGATAAGCATGATTTTTTCCCCCAAACTGTACAATCTCTGCATATCTTGAAGCAACCAAAATGAAATTTAGTGGGATAAGACAAATGTGTATTGCAGTTTTAATCACTTTATTATAAATGTAGTTGTTGTACTTTAAAAAAATTGCATCTAAATTTGTAAGTATCAAAAATATTAAACTAATAGCTTAGATTAGTGTTTTCTAGAAATTGGACAAAACTATATAGCTGAGAATAATATTTCACAGTGGTAGTGTTGAACAGAACTCCAGCTTCATTTAAGTTAGCAGCTATGTTGTGAGTCATGCTCTGCATCAGAGAAACATTCTTTTGACATTTTCAAACAGATACAACAAGGTGCTTTTTGATGATAAATATTTGTAGCTTCCCACAATGGCTAATGATGAATACCACGCACAGTTTCTCTTCTATGTCTTTTCACTTTGTAGGAAACCATGTCTAAAGCCCTCCTAGAGACCTTCATCAGGCTTCTGGATTCAATTTCAGTGATCTTTAATTAAAAGAAATTATCCCGATAACTCTCTGCCCCTTCAGAAAACTCCCACTCCTCTCCAGTCTGAGTAACAATACTATTTTGCCTTTAAAACATATAATTGAGTTCTTTCCTTAAAATCATTCAAGTTCCATAGTTGGGCTATTTGAATCACACAAAATTACTGGAACAAAAACAGAAGTACAGTGGAATGTAATCAAGAAGCCTAGGGAAAACATGTGCCTTTTCCCAAAGGAAACCAGAGATCTGGTTACCTGCATATGGACAAGGCTGAGGCACTTAACTTTTTTTCCCCTCAGTCTTCATCACGAAGAGCTCCACTCACATCGGCTGCAGGAGGCAAGGCAGGGGAACTTGAAGAATGACAACATTCCACTGCAGGAGAAGATCAGGTTCGAGAACATCTAAGCAGCCTGAAGATGCACAGGCTGATGGGACCTGATAATATACATTGGTGGGTCCTGATGAAATTGAAAGACAAAGTTTCTAAGCCACTATCCTCCATATCTGAGAAACTGTGGCAGTTTCGTTAGGTGCCCATTGACTGGAAGAGGGGAAACACCTATCAAGATGGGATTTTCCTCATCTTGAGGGTCTAACAAACAGATTTCTAGAAACCTCATGGCTTTCACATGCCTACCCTGATATAATCTGAAAGGGATTATTCAGGGAAAAAATCCAATCTTCGAAGAAAACAGCAAATATGAGCCAGCCATGAATCTCTCTCTGCAGTAATTGCTATGAGGAACAACTCTATAGTTCATGCTGTCTTTTGTTGTTGTTGTTGTTTGATTGGTTTGGGGTTTGTTTTGTTTTGGAGACTCCATTTAAAATACAGTACATGGCGACAAATTATCTATGATCTATTCATGTAGCTCTCAAAGATGAGGTAGGAGGACTTTGAACAGAATGGGGAAAGTGTATGATAAAGATTTGAAAGGCCTGCTCCTTCAAGGACCTTTAATCATATGCTGGGTACACAAGAGAATGTGGTTCCCAATCAAGGACAAACATGTATCACAAGGAAAGCTACAGGCTCTGACTCTTACTGTAAAAGCTCCTAGACAGGTGAGGAGGAAATGGTGTAGGCAAGTTTCTCATGAAGTATAATAACTGCAAATTTTGCAGTATATCCCAAAAGGGACAATTTCAATTAAAGCCATTTTGGGTCTGCAACAAAACAAACCTTTGTAGCATAAGGGTCCAGACCTGCCCCAGGAAATTGACCAGGCCAAGCAGTAATACAACAAGCTTCTCAACTTTGCAGGATCACAGAAGAGTGAAAGTGTCATGCTACATGATCTGTAGTGTTTGTGCATGGAGTGAAAAAACATAGCATCTAGAAATGATGGTAATTTATGATAAGGGATTTTTAAAATTTTGTTTTTCTATAGGATTCGGGGTTTTCAGGAAGTAGAATGTTGCCATTTTTCCTTCTTGTCTTATAAAGCTATATCTGACAATCTGGTGACAAACTAAGAGATTCTTCTAGCTAGACGACTCCTCACATTTTTTTATCTCCTCTTGTCTTTCCATTCCTCTTCCTAAATCAGATTAAAACTACCAAGTGCCTCGGTAATTTCTTTTTGGTATTCATGCTGAGCCCTAGCCTACTTCAGACCAGTTCAAAGGATTTCTCAAAGCACAAATATCATATAACTGTATTGCTGAACCATAGCTCCATAATATAGAGGCAACAAACCATTAATGAAATGGAGTTCATGTGTGTGGCTTTACAGCACAGCTGCTGTGCTCTCATCTGATCTTGTCTATTCAGCATACCAAAGACCAATAGTGGTATGAACTGGAACTGTAATTAGGAGTCTTAATCTGAATCAAACAATGACCAGAAGTGCTAAACCAAGCCATCGGCAGAACAAAGCTCTTGTTTATTCAAGTGCGCAGTAAATGTAGAGGTTTTCTCATAGTAGCTTACTTACCTAACTCCTTCTCTGCTCATAAAAGTCTAAATTTATAAATTTAATCACTGAGAAGTTATTTAAATGAAAAGGAAAGAAAACACAGGTTCATAAACTCCAATATTTCAGAGAAACATTTGACACAGTTTAGGATGCCATTGTAAATTTATCATGATGCCATGTGCACAATATTGTGCATATAAAGACATTAGAAACTTTAAAAATATTACCAAAATCTTAGTGTACACCTGTATTGAGAGTGTTACTTTGCTGACTGAACAAGATGCTGTACATACAGAAGCTGAGGCTTAAAAGAGTTAAGCAAGTTGATCAACTCCACAAAACAAAGCCTTTGCAATATAAGAACAAACTCATTCTCACAGTTTTCAGTCTGTGTCTTTCCCCCAAAATTATTCTTTCCCTTCAGGTTGCTATTTAGGAGTGTAGTAGCTACCTTGCTTAGTTGTCTCATCAGTGACACAGACTGTATTTCTACACAAAATAATGTGCTCATGCAAACAGAAAAGTTTTATTGACACACAGGATTGTGAAAATTAACAAAACCAGAGGAGCTTACCCAAATCCAGAAAACAAGCGACAGAAGAGGAAGAAGCCATAGCCCTGGACAAAGGATGAAAGGAAGGCAAAGAATCCATTGACAGACATACATATCAGTAGTGATTGTCTCCTTCCCACCTTGTCGGCCAAGCCTCCCCAGAAGAATGCCCCCACCATCATCCCAAGGTACACGATACTCCCTGTAATACACAAAAATACAAAAGAGGTATTTTGTCAGCTACATAATTGACCACACCAAAATCAGTTAACCCTCTATATTTACAAAAAGATTAGGATACTGATGCTTTTATCCTTTCTCACTGAATAGAAATTACATGCACAGTTTTGTAGACGTATCTAGAGAGAACAAATTTCCTACTGTTTTTTTCATCTGTTACCAGACACACTTAATATAAACATTAAATTGAAGCTTAATATAAATACTAAACAAGGTGCGTCTAGCTAAAACAATAAACATGTAGGCAAATAAGTCTGAATAGGAGGAGAAAATGCCACTATTTCCTCAGAATTAAAATGCATTCGTGTTAAATATTGCCAAAAAATATTACTTCCCCTACAGGTACAATTTGTCTGAACATCTTCAGCAGGACATTAAACACCAGGATAGCTGGGAGTAATATGTGCTAAAAAAAGATGATTATAAAACATACACTTTTCACCTGAGATATATAGAATCAAAAACATTGATCTTGATTGGTTTTTTCTCCCTCCTACACCAGTGTATTTCTTTGTTTTAAAAGTCAATGTCCTTTCAAAACAAAAACTGCAATGTTCTTGACTTGTTGTTTTGGGGTTTTTTTTGTCATCTTCCCCCCTCTCAATAATTATAATAAATGCAACAGATACAGTTACATTTCTTAAAATGGTATAGTAAAAAATAATATCGGGGTGATATTTTTTTAGCTTAAATTGTGTTTCCACATGTACTTTCTCACAGAAAGATAAATTGAAATATTTACCATTTTTATTCTTCACATCTTAACACATTGTAGATAATTTCCTTTCCAAACACCCTGTGGAACATTTGACAAATATGTACAACATATTGAGCAGACTGTCGGAAGGAAAAAGTAATTCCCAAGTTTTGGACAGAATCATTAACTTTGTATTTTGTTTGATACATGGAATTCTTTTTCCATCTAGTTTCTTGTTGAACTTCCCAGGTTAGGTTTTATATATCCTGCATATTGCTACCATCTTCTACAGAGCAGGAATTACTCACTAAGGTGCTATAAGTCATTAAAATACTAGAAATCCTTGTTATGTGTCTCCTTTAGATTAGTCTCAAGAATGGACAAATTCTCCAGCGTCTCTAAAGGACTGTAATTGCTGTGAAATTCTGGCTTCCAAAAGAATCACTTTTGCCCTGAAGAAGGTAGTTGGATGGTAAAGGAAGCTGAAGAAAACCCATTTAAATTCCTGGGCTTGGTTAAATGCATATCAGTGTAGAGTTTACACATCAGTATTTCTGTTCTTGGAATTACAGATGATAACATCTGAAGTGCAGACATCTGCAGGGTCTTATACACCCTGAAGTGTCTCTGTTCCCTCTCATGTTCTGTGCAAGTAATTTCCACTGTTGTTCCCTTATGAGACATAATTTAAAATAGGATATTTTTAAAATAGGATACATATTGTGTGTTATATTGTATATTAACATGATTATAAAAAGTGGTTTGGGTTGGAAGGGACCTTAAAGACCACCTTAAATTTCAATCCCCGGCCATGAGTAGAGGCATGTTCCTTTAAATCAGATTTCTCAGACCTGCACCTAATCTCAGGATAACAGATCCCATGCTGCTCATCACAGGAGAATTGCTAAAGCAACAAACTCCATAAGAATAACAGTTAAGTGTCTTCTAAAAAACAGCTTTTGTCAATGAATATTTTCTAAATTTTGCTGGGTTCTTAGACTTTCATCAAAAAATACTGATGATAATACAAGTAAATCCAGAATTTGCAGAATTACTAAGACATCTATCTTTACCTTCTTTAGCTCAGGAAGGACACAGACATTACAGTATTCTTTTTTAGTATAGAGGTATTTAGGAGCAGACATTTATTGGATAGCTTTTTCATTCTGATCAGAAATTTTATTCCACTAGTTGAGATTTTTCTGTAAATGCACATGGCTAATGTATTTCCTGGTCCTAAATGGACAAAGATTGGTGGGTAATTTAACATATTCATTCAATGGCTTTCAGATCTCTCCTGTGGGTTATTTCACTGTGCTGCAGGTGGATCACTGCCCATAAGCAGTTTGGAAACTCCATCCAACAGATCTGCTGCTTGCTTGACAGTAGGAGTGGAAAGAATGTAGCAAAGATCGTCAAATAGCTGTACTGCCAGCAGACATTTCAAAAAGAAAAAAGGGTCATTTTTATTCTTACAGTGAAATTCATTAGATTCTTTTCTGTATAAGAATTATTGGGTTTTCCCAGTCAACATTCTAATATAAGAAATAGAGAAGACCAATTAAATAGCCTTTTATTTCTTTATAGAGATAACTTTGAAATATTTCTATGCAAATAATCATAACTTTACCAATTTACATTCCTTGTGATGCACAAATATATCAAAACATTTTGAACAATGAAAAAAAAATGATTCCAAGTCTTGAGTTTAAAAAAAAATCCCTTTCTTTTAGATGAAAAATCCTTTGGTCATTGTACTGTGTTTTGGACACTTATACTGATGTAATTCTCCTAAAGAACGTTTGAAAGATGCTGCTAAAAATAATATTCTCATCCTGTCAATAAACTGCTATAAATAAGCTGCTCTCTGAGCTGCAGCATTATCTTTTTCTTTCCCATTATATTAACTTCCAATTTTTTCCTATTTGCGATGTAGTCTTTGCACACATCCTCTCCTTGACCAAAGATCTGTAACCCTTCCATCCTGAACCTACTGCAGCTACCAACAGTACATGTTTCGGTACATTTTCTGTCTTCTATTCTGTATTTTCTGTCCGTCTTTGTCGTAAGACATTCATATAATGGTTTGGGTTGTAAGGGACCTTAAAGTCCATCTATTTCCAACGCCCCTGCCATGGGCACCCCTCATTAGACCAGATTCTTCAGACCCCCATTCACCCTGCCCTTGCAAACTTCCAAGGAAAATGCATTCTCAGCTTCTCTGTACAATCTGTCCCATAATGAAGAACTTCTTCCTTAACTAAACCTGCTGGATTCTGAAAATTCTCTAGATTTTGGCCGTCTCTTGTTGGCACTTGCACCAAAATGCTAGGATTGGGGTAGATTGAAGTTCTCCTCCCTTCTTTAGTTTACTTTAGTAAACCTTAGTTTAAACCCCTCCTGCATCATGTAAAGGAAGTGCCCTTTGTCTCAACTTCCAAATTTTTCCTTAAGATCATTTTACCCTGCAGCAATATTAACAATAAGTCACAAAAGTGAAAAACGGTACAGGAGAACTCTAACCATGGAAAATAGCTGAACAACCACCCAACAAATGTAAGTAGCCAATGAGATAGGATGATAATTTTATTGTCATCAGATTATCATTAGCATTTATTTTCTAACTATTGTAGTTCTTGTTCATTATGTTATGCCGCTGGTCAGAAAATAAATGTCTTCTGGATAACACTAATTTTTTTCTACATATTTCAAAATTCACACATTACATTTTGCATAAATTCATATATGTAAAAATTAAATACCATATTGTTGGTCAATCTATATATGTATATAGATGTCAACCTAGCATGTAATGCTGAGAGGTGGTACTCCTTTTTTGAATAGCTACTACCATCCACAAGACAGGCTTCTTTTCTCTTTCTTTTTGTACACTTTTCTCCAAAGAAATCAGCTAATACAGTGGAAGGAACACACTGGTTTGATATGCAGTCTGACCTTAGAACATATTTTAAAATATTTTAAAATATAAAGACTTTGAAGGATATCTGTATCATACATCTTGGATTCTCCCCACAAGGTAACAAAACTGTCTAAAACTCTCAATTTTTGGAAAAGCACTGAGAAGAGGCAGATGGTAGCTGAAAAGAAACATGCTAAAATAAATAATCTCTTTTATTGTTCTTTTGACAAGTTTTAACAAACCTGTATTTTCTTTCCATTGCAGAATTCTTACATACTTCAATGATTTTCACCCACTGCACAAATGTACATAATACACACTTACATCCTCTTCAGACAAGGGAACCTTAGTGTGGGATTGCTTTACACCATGCACACACTTTGGCTAACAGATGGCTAGATATTTTTAAAGGGATGTGCACACAGCATCTTTCATACTGCTTGAAAGAGTTTAGCCTTACAAACAGCTGACCAAGAACTCCCTTGGTATCCAAATGCTAGTTATGGACAATTTAAACAATGACATAACAATAAATAACAACAATGACATAACTAGTACTTAAGTTCACTTAAGCAGTATTTTACTCCTCGTGCTGCCATAACTTCATTACTTGCTGATATCAGTTGTAATTCATAGTCTGGTATCTAAAAGATAGACAAAACCTTCTGAAAAATCAGTTTGTAAGTGTATTTAGTCAGGAAAAAATACAGCAATGAAAGAAAAGTCAGATTTCGCTGCAATAGAGAGACTCAGAGGCTATGGGACTCCCTGATTAGCTTTTTGCACTAACATACCTATTATAAATCAGTTATAAAATGGGCATGAAGTTTTTGTTTCCTGTTACATCGTTTGGGTAATCTGTCTGAATGAGGAAAGCATTTCATTCAGCCAGAAAAAGAATACACGTTATAAAAAGACTTTAAAAATAAGACTAAAATATCATTTCTATTTTGGAAAGAGCAATTATAAACGTGGTTCCATAACAAGCAAAACAATTTTTGTAAGAATTATAATGTAATCAGTGTTTTACTTACTTGTACTTGGATCTTCCCATATGCTATTGTTGAGAATATAATAATTCATAGTGAAGTATTGCAATGCCTATAAGTAGCATGATGAATATAAGAATGAGAATATCCAGTTTTATATTTGTTTTAATCCTGATAATACACTATATTTGGAGTTTAAAGACTTTAATCTTTCAGACCTGTATTTAATTACAATCTGTTAATAGTTTCTTTGATCGGAAAAGACTTGGAAAATTGGAGCAACCTACTCAGCAACTGTCAAACATAACCTCTAATTAAGTATTTGCAATGGGAGGTAATTAAGGCAAACACTTTTC